TGGACCCAAGCGGGACAGAAAAGGTTAGCTACGGGAGAGATGCTGCTATACTCCGGTCACGAAGAGGAAAATGCTCCACACACTCAGGGAGTTGCTCTAATGCTGTCCAAAGTAGCACGAAATGCACTTGTGGGATGGGAATCTCACGGATCCAGAATCATCAAAGCATCATTCAAAACAAAGAAGGAGGGGATCACAATGAATATTATCCAATGTTATGCACTCACCAATGATAACAATGATGACATTAAAGATCCATTCTACGAGCTGCTGCATTCAATCATAGAGAAATGCCCAAGAAAGGACCTCACCATTCTCATAGGAGATCTAAATGCCAAAGTTGGAATAGACAACACTGGATATGAAGATATCATGGGACGACATGGATTGACTGGGAGAGAGAAAGGAAAATGGAGACAGATTTGCAAATCTGTATGTATTCAACAAATTGGTCATAGGAGGCACAATATTTCCACACGAACGTATACACAAGCCTACATGGATCTCACCGGAACACACCATAGAGAACCAGATAGATCATATTTGCATCAACCAAAAATTCCGAAGGACAATGGAAGATGTGAGAACTAGGAGAGGAGCTGACATAGCTTCAGATCACCATCTTATTGTGGCCAATTTAAAATTGAAGCTAAAGAAAAAACTGGACAAACAGTATTACAAAGCTTCAATACAGCCTTCCTTCGAGATACTGACAAACTCAATGAATTCAAGATAGCTCTCAACAATAGGTTCCAAGCCTTACAAGATCTACTGAAAGAAGAAGAAACTACTATGGAGGACAACTGGAAAGGCATCAAGGAAGCATTAACTTCAACGTGTCAAGAGGTTCTCGGTCTAAAGAAATACCATCATAAGGAATGGATCTCTACAGAAACACTGGACAAGATCAAAGAAAGGAAGAACAAGAAGGCAGCAATAAACAACAGCCGAACACGAGCAGAGAAAGTCCAAGCACAAGCTGAATACATAGAAGCAAACAAACAAGTGAAGAGAGCATTAGAGCCGACAAGAAGAAATACGTGGAAGAATTAGCAACGACGGTGGAATAAGCTGCTAGAGAAGGAAATATGAAACAGCTTTACGATACAACGAAGAAACTAGCAGGGAAATACAGTAAACCAGAGAGATCGGTCAAGGACAAAGAAGACAGGCCAATCACTGAAATTCAACAACAACGGAACAGATGGGTAGAGTTCTTCGAGGGACTCGTGAATAGGCTGGCTCCAATGAATCCACCGGACATCGAAGCAGCACACACAGATCTTCCTCCCTTAGGTGTCAATCCACCAACGACGGAACAAATCAGAATGGCCATCAGACAAATGAAGAGCGGGAAAGCAGCAGCACCCAACAATATACCAGCTGAAGCACTGAAGTCAGACATCGAAGTAACTACAAACATGCTTTACCTTCTATTCAAAAAGATTTGGGAAGAGGAACAAGTGCCGATGGACTGGAAAGAAGGACACCTCATCAAGATTCCAAAGAAAGGAGATCTGAGTAAATGTGAAAACTACAGAGGCATTACACTAATGTCAATACCAGGAAAAGTCTTTAACAGAGCTTTTCTGAACCGGATGAAAGATGCAGTAGACGCCCGACTTCGAGATCAACTAGCTGGACTACAGTGCAAGGTCGTGCATAGAGGACTGCTGACAGATGCATTCCAAGTAAGGACCAGAGTCTGACAAGGCTGTCTACTCTCTCCCTTCCTCTTTCTTTTGGTGGTCGACTGGATTATGAAGACCCCGACATCTGAGGGAAAACACGGCATACAATGAACAGCTCAGAACCAATTAGACGATTTGGACTTCACGGATGACCTAGCTCTCCTATCGCATGCACATGAACAAGTGCAGATGAAGACAGCCAGTGTAACAGCAGTCTCTGCATCAGTAGGCCTCAACATACACAAGGGGAAAACCAAGGTTCTCAAATACAACACGGAGAACAGCAATGCAGTCGCTCTTGATGGCGAAACTCTGGAAAATGTAGAATCCTTCAAGTACTTAGGAAGTATCATCGATGAACAAGAAGGATCAGATGCAGACGTAAAGACGAGGATTGGCAAAGCAAGGACAGCATTCCTACAGTTGAAGAACATATGGAACTCAAAACAACTTTCAACCAATACCAAAGTGAGAATCTTCAATACGAATGTCAAGGCAGTTCTACTGTACGGAGCTGAAACTTGGAGAACTACAGCAACCATCATCAAGAAGATACAAGTATTTATAAATAATTGTCTACACAAGATACTCAACATCCATTGGCCGGATACCATCAGTAACTGCCTGCTGTGGGAGAGAACAAACCAGCTTCGAAGTGAAGATGAAATTAGTAAAAGACAATGGAGTTGGTGGGTAGGACATACATTACGGAAATCATGAAACTGTATCAAGAGGCAATCCCTAACTTGAAACCTTGAAGGGAAGCGGAAAAGAGGAAAGCCAAATAACACATTACGTCGAAAAATAGAAGTAGATATGAAAAAGATAAATTACAACTAGAAGGAGCTAGAAAGGATTTCCTAGGACAGTGTTGGATGGCGAGTGCTGGTGACCGGCCTATGCTCTTCTATGAAGAGTAACAGGAGTAAGTAAGTAATCTCTTTTCTGATGAATGTAAGGAAATGAGCCCCAATTTTTATTAATTTAATAGTTGAATTTATGATTCCATTAAAGCTAAACCACCGTGGACCAACATCTACGTTATTTGTTTCACACTATATTTACCTCAATTTAAACTTTCAATGGATATATGATTGCAAGCAGAGGATGGACAACCACTAAATATAATGAATTCATATTATTCTGAATTTATGTCTGTTCTGGCTTTATTTAAATTCCTGAAGGATACTAAGTGTACATCAGCTGAATATTTCTCGTATTGTCTCTGTTAAAGCAAATATCTATTTCACAATATGAATAAAACAGCTTGTTTGTTATTTTCAATGATCATAAAATAAAATATTCACGAAAGATCATTAAATATTCAAAGATTTAGACTGATATGATATTATTATTTTCTTTTATATTTCTGATATGTGGGTGCGTATGATAATGATTGGTTGTTTGTTTAGTCAGACTTGTCTGACAGGCGTCTGATCAGCGTTAGATGAGTTATATATTCTCCTATGTTTATTATTATTAGTGGATTGTTGTCGGTTTCCAGTGTGGAATTATATTTACGTTGTAGCCAGACTAGTTAAATATTCTTGATCTGAAATGTGTTAAAGTCCTGTAGAATGAGATATTGGAAGAGAATCTAATATATTTATTTATTTATTCATTATTATTAGCTTTATTCAATATTATATATTTGGTATAATATAGAATTCTCAACACAAATTATTTCCAAGATTGAAGTCATGAGTCAATTGAAGCTAAACCACCATGGAAAACCACGTCTGTTGTGAGATAGTAACTCACTGAAGACAATGGTGTACGGTGGCGCAACTTCGTGGGTTGGTTGAGGTTAGACATTAACACCATTGGATGCCGGCTCAGTAGTCTAGTTGCTTAAGCGCCTGGCGCGAGACTGATAGGTCCTGTGTTCGAATCTCGCGGGGTGCGGGATCGTGGATGCGCACTGTCGAGGAGTCCCATGCTAGGACGAAACGGCCATCCAGTGCTTGTAGGTTTTCCATGGTGGTCTGGCTTCAATTGACTCATAATTTCAATCTGTGAAATTTCTAAAATCTCCACGAACCCCTTCTGATAACAAATGAGTTCAACAATTTTCCGTTTCTTTCTTCTTGATTGATCCTGACGATGAATATTGAGTGATCAACAGTTAGATGTTAGCAGTCCAGTAAATGAACATCTGAATAATGTACATTTTTTTCGCTGTATATTGCCAGTGACCAAAATACCTCTTATTGGGCCTTTTGTATCCTTTACAACGAAAGATTTTTCACTTTTCAAAAAACGCATCTGAATAGGTTATGCGATTAATAAACATAATGATGTATTCAAACAAACAAAATTAGATAACTTGTTGAAATATCTAGATGGCAGGAACAGGTAGCCCAGATGTTCAAGCAGGCCGCCAACTATTCATCTAAGGCAAATTAACATCCCATTCGTGTAGATGAATATATATAATTAGCTGTCCTTTTCACCAGTGTATTAAAATTGAACCAAATAGACAAATGTTATTCTTATTCATTTGAACATTGAATATTCACATGGTAAATGCTTAGAAAAACAAACAAGTGAATGTCGTTATTTTTTCAAAATGAATACTAACGAAATAGAATTATAGTTTATAATTAAACATGTTTTCCTTGTATATTATAAACAAGTAAATGGCATTGACCAACCAACGAACCGACCGGTCGATCAGCCAACCAAGCAACCATATCATTGTTCATTATTATTACGCCTGTTACTCCTCGTGAAGGAGCATAAGCCTCTTATCAGCATTCTCCATCCAACCCTATCCTGGGCAATCCTATCCAGCTCCTTCCAGTTGTTGTTCATTCTTTTCATATCCGCTTTCCGTAGAAAACTAACTCGCTAAAAAAAACGCTAAGTAACCATATCAGAAAAGCTATAAATATAAAATATCATACACTTGGAAATTAACTTAAATGAACGTTTATAGTTCGATGAGGTATGGGTTCTTTATTATTTCAATCCATAATATATATATATATATATATAGTTAGACGATCAAATGAATAGATATCATTGTGTTATCATACAAAGAACAATCATAAATACAAAGAAGGTTAATTGTTAGAGACAAACAGAAGAATCATGACAGTTATTCTAACAGAATTATTATTTCATCATCTCATCACAGACACACACAAAAACTGTTGATCTTTTCTTTTTTAAAGAAGTAACTATTTGGAAATAGTTGACTTCATGAACAAAATGAAAAAAAAAACAAAAAAAACAAACACTTTGTGGAATATACAGATAAAATAACAAAAAGAAAAAAAAACAGAATGAAATCAATACGTTATTGATTTAATCTGTATCAGTTGGTATAGAACTAGTTCGTCGACGGGATAATTGTCCTTGAAATACACTTAGATCATCTACATTTGAAATTGAAGCATCACATGAAATTTCTACTTGTTTTTGTGGTTTTAAACAAAATGCTTCTGTAAAAGAAAAGTATTGAAACAGATTTTTTTTAAAAAAAAGCAAACAAACATGGTAACGATAAAAAATATTCTGTGATAAACTGTAAAATAAATTCTGTGGGACAAGTGAATTCTACGGAATAGTAGAACACTATTATAGAATAATGTTGAGATAGTGGAGAAGATTTGTAGCACAGATGAATAATTTTGATGGAGTTTTGTTCTTTGAGCTAGATGGTTTGATCATGGAGCATTCATCGTTCTTCTGAATGACATCATTAGCACAAACTTCAGGTAAAAGTGAAATGTTCGAATTTCTTCACATACGGTTCACAGCTTGTCCTGTAGACTTGGATGTTGATTGGTTCTTGTTGACCTTAAACCTGTCATTGTTTACCTCAAGTAAAAATCAACATGAAGCAATCAACACAGAGGTGTACAGGACAAGCTAGGAACTACATGTGGAGAAATGAGAACACTTATCTTTTACATGAAATTTGTGCTGATGATGTCTTTCAGAAGAACGATGAAATCTCCACGACTAAATCATTCAGCTCAGAGAACAGAAGTCCATGAAAAATAGAATAATGTTATTACAATAGTGTAAAGTACACTATACAATATGTTTTAGTTGTTAAAATCGCTTTACTTTTTAATAATTTAATCCATATTTTAATATACTAAAATGTACATTCAATCAAACTAAATTAAAATTAGTAACATCAGGAAGAAAGCCGTCAACTTTTATTCGGTTTTATATTTTACAGTCTAAAAATAGGGATATATTAGACTCAAAATACCTTCGATTGTTTTCGTCGTTTAACATTTATATTATCAAATTACACGTTAGAAGCATGAAAATAAGGGTTATCTTTTTGGATTTCTGAGTAAATCCAGGATATTTATAGGAGAAATAGACGATAAAATTCTAGTTAAATTCATAAGTCTAATCACTCATAATCTTATTCACATTGTGTTATGAACTAAATAACACTAACACCAAAGCCCCCAAATGCCCTGGTATGGCCGAAAGTGGGGTGGGCCCACCTCCCCTCTCGAAATGCACTAACACGGCCACGCGTATACAGCCTCTGCCAGGGACGTCCTACTCACTGCCTTTTCATGGCGGAGGTGTTGTTTTCGAAGTTGAGAGAATGGAAAGCGAATGTCCGGCGCTTTAACCGGATTTCAAACCAATGGTGCACATGGGCTCCAATATCCTGCAGGAACAAACGGCGTATGAACCAATTTTCGGTCACCGGCTTCCATGGGACTGCATGTCCTCACGACGCTCCACTGCCTTGTGGATCAGACCTTCAGGTCAAAGGCTCGGGGTGTGGCCCCTTAAGAAAACCACCTGCTTCGGTCTGGGCACCCGGACAGTATCCCAGCCCTCGCACAAATCGAATGATTTATGTGGCGCATATCTATTTGGTTCCTCCTTGTACCAATGTTTATGTGTTTAAATAAATAAATAAATAAATAATAAAATAACACCAAAAAATAGAGTAAAACAGTCGTTCATATGATTTCAGTTCATTATGATAGTTCCTCCTGAACTGTGCAAATCTCCTTGAAATGCCTTAAAACATTGTAGCATAAATAATTATAAACGTGTTTCCTTGGATTTCACTCTCTGCATATATACTACAAACTTTGTAACTGGATTAGAGTAGTCTACTACTGAATAATCCATTTTACCTCTTCTTAAAGTTGACATTCCAGTCATTCTGTCAAACAAAAGGATATTGAAAGGTGTGTCCTGTGGTTAACAAGAATTGAAAAACTAACAGTATATCTTAGTATGATAGACTAGCCCCATTAGACCACATAACCTACACTAGTCCCAGTTCAATAAACTAAGTTGTCCTATGAAAATCGAATAAACTATTCAATCTCAAAATATAACAGCTCTTTTTGCTAACAATGACCACATGACAACGGATACACAAATGATTTGAAAAATCAAGCTGAACTCCAATAAATGCGTTTGAAGACAAAGATGAGATATATATCATTTCATGACACTGTCCTTTTAATACTTTCTTAGCTGATTTACATACCTATTATGCTTTTGATCATTAATCAATACTATTGTAAGTTTCACAGTTGAATTTTCACGTGCCGATCATTATTAAAAACATGGTAGCATGCGACATCCGTTTCGTCCTTATATGGGACTCCTTAGCAATGCTCATCAGTGATATGAAATAGGTAACTGTATTAAACATCAGCAACAACCTATTGTAGGAGAGAACAATCCAAATCTCAGTGGAGGAAGAAATCAGGAATAAGCACTGGAAGTGGATAGGACACATATTGAGGAAAGCACCCAACTGTTTCATAAGTCAAGTCCTCACATGGAATCTTCAAGGCCAAGCTAGGAGGAGAGGAAGACCAAAAAACACATTACGTCGAGAAATGGAGACAGACATGAGAAGGTTGAACAAAAATTGGACAGAACTAGAAAGAAAAGCCCAGGCCAGAGTGAGTTGTAGAATGCTGATGGGCAACCTATGCTCCATTCGGAGTAACTGTCTTAAACAATGACATGAACTATTATAATTATTTATATTTCTATAGCAACTAACCTTTAGTTTCTTTTAAAAATTTTTGTGAATCAAGCCAATTTTGTTCATATTCTTCTTCATCAGCAGCTTTTTGTACATAGAAACAATTGATAAATGTTGCAATAATATTCACAGATATTAAAAGACAAAAACATCCAATAACTATTGGTAAAAATAAATTTTTTAAACGATTTACACAACCTTCAGGATAAGCTAAATAATATGGAATAACATAAAATAGATTATTCATTTCAGGTGATTGTACTGTTAATGAAGTAAGTTTATTTCTGGTTAATTTTGATGCATTATTACAATGTTCATTTGTATAAGTTTGTAAATCACAACATGAATATGGTACATGTTGTTTAGGTATTGCTTCATTAGCCACACCATAATCGTCATAAGCTATTGGGTGTTTTTTTAAAAAAAAAGAAAAATAATTAGGAAAGAGAAAAATCAACACTGATGAAATGATACAAAACATATATATACAACAACAACAACTTAATATCAGAAGGGATTTTGTGAATATTGTAGTAATTTCAATGGTTGAGATCATGAGTCAATCGAAGCTAGACCATCATGAAAAAACTGAAAGCAGTGGACGGTCGTTTCTCCCTATTGTGGAACTCCTTAGCAGTGCGCAGCCACGAAACCGACCGCCGCGAGATTCGAATCCAGGATCTATCGATCTCGCTCGCAAGTGCTTAACATCTAGACCACTTAGTCGGTCGATATCCAACGGTGTTAATGTCTAACTCCAACTAATCCACAAAATTGAGTGACACATCCACTATTGTCATCCGTGAGTTAGTATTTCACAACAGACCTGGTTGAACTCCATTATTTACTGCTTCTCACTAGAACTCCAGGATATACCTCTTGAAGCGAGTCACTAGTGAGTATATTTTGATTCATATCAGAAGGGTTATTTTGTACAGTAGCTACGAGAATTTCGATTTTATCAATAATAAAATAAATATGGAGCATTAAGTGATCGTAAACAATACGTTTTAAATCATTAACTAAGTCCTACTAAATATAACCCATTCTTTAAGCATGTATCTTTTACATACATCTGAAGCCATTGGTATCCATTTGAATAGACCTATCTTTTATATTCATAAGAAATGTTTACGATGAGACCTTTGAGCGACGCTAGACTGACCTTGAGAATGTCCACCTAATATCTAGAACCAAATAAACATTACAAACCTGTGTGAGGATTAGAATTATGATTTACAGTTGATGTTTAAGATTAGCAATAAGATTTAAAATTTTCATTGCGAATTAGCATCGGTTATAATGCCAAAACTCTATTTCATCAAATGGATGAGTGAATTTTGCCTCCAAATTCGAGACCTATCATTTTGTACCTGATTGGTTCGTCTACAAATTATGATCTCGCCATTTTTACAATCATTCCCCTTATTTTTGTCATCATAATAGTCAATATCTAAGTGAGTTACTGTTGATTTATTACAGAATCTCTCTCTTTTCACAAATATCTTTGTAACAAAATTGTTGTTCTCGATTTATTGATTAACTGTAACATACTCTTTATGAATACACTACTGTTATTAATACTAGACTCAGTCAATGGTATCAATTCTCTCATATTATATTGAGCATTTTATCGATTATATAACTCGATATCACAATTCATTCATATATCGACTAAGTCCTCGGATATTAGTTCTTTTTTATGATCTGATCTTTGAATTACTTTACATAATCATGATAGATTTCATTAATTTTAATATCCGTAAATGGGACATCCTTTCCAGTGATTTCCAATTGCTATTTATGTTTTTGATGTCTGCCTCCAAAATAATGAATAGTAATTTAGAAACAATTGGAATTCGATGGAGAATCCTGATAGGCGACTTATAGTTTGTAGTGTCGATTATTATGTTAAGCCCATATACCTTATCTAAATCCGTTATTCACTAACGTGATTTAAGTCGATGATTATATACGACGATAGGCGACATATATATTTCGATAACAACCAATCATTGCGATCTCCTTGGAGTCAGATTCCGGGGCACTAAAGTGGAGAGCCCTTTTGACAACATCGTTCGATCTAAATGACGACAAAACCAAGGGCCCCACAAGTTCTCCATGATGGATAATAGGTGTATGTAAGTAATTGAACAAGTAAATAACTGAAAATTATTTATAGTTTAAGGTTAGAACTTACATTGTTCAAGTATGTTATCATAGAAATTAGTGACGAAATGTTTTGTAAGAAAATTTTCTAATCTGTATAAGTTGAAGTCGAAAGTACAGATGATAAATATGTTTAACATGATATTGAATCATATACGTGATTCGATAGATTTACAACTGATAAACATCAATAGTTCGATGATACTCCAACGAAGAACAAAAGAAATCACTTCATAATAAAGTTTTCATGAGATTATATGGATTAATCATACTATAAGGGTTACAATAATTCTAATAAGCAAAGATGGATAGTGACTAGCAGTGGAATCCAGGACGCGCGTTTCGTCTTGTTTGGGACTCGTCAGCTGGATGTACCTGCATCTCAGAGTTGATGTTCACTCTGGGACTCGAATCCAGGACCGTTTGCTTCAAACGCCATCGCGTCATCCACTTACCTACTGAGTCCTGATTGCCACTTGCTTGTGCAATGGGGTGAAGTTTAATTCACTTGATATTGTTTTACTCGAATAAGAGACTAATCAATTTCAGTCCCAAAAAACATCAATGGGAAGATTCAAGTAAAACAATATCAAGTGAATAATTTTAATGTCCGAAAATTCATAAATAATGAATATTATTATGGTAACTTTAGTAGATCATAATGCTAATTTTAATCACTTTCACACAATGTTTTACATTTGAAGATCTCTCAGTACTGACTAAATCAAGTTATTGTAACCGATTTATTAATTACAGTTCTATGTATTTGACTTTCGAGTTAACTATGAGTTTCTAAACTATTGATACTATCCAGTTACCTAGAATGAATGCCTAGAATTTCAGTTTACAAAAACCACTTATCTATAGTATGTTAAATTAATTCACAAGATAAAACTTACATCCTCTACCACAACAATGAAGAGCTTCTTGTATATTTGCCATAACTGTTTTATCTTCTAAACCAGGTTGAAACATTTGAACAGCAAATGTTACACCAACTTCTAAATGTCTTAACCATTGTGATAGTATAGTATAAAGAATACCACTTTCTAACACTGCTAAAAATACCAGGGCAAATATCTAAAAAGATAGAAAATTAATAATTAAAGAATGATTAGTTTAAAGACTGATTAAAGTATTTACAGAAATGAAACAAACATTATCAAGTGTATATATCAGATCGTTTGCCGTTCTCATCAATGAATTCAAGAGTTATATAATGGTCCACCTGGGTGCTTGGTACCTGTGTGATTGCGACACAAGATTGAGCTGTACTAATCAGATTATAGCGTTAAAGCCTATATGGTGTCTGGTTCTCCTGAAAACCAATATAAAATTACCCTGGTCCACAAGGGTATATTATATAGTTATATAATTGTAGGTTTTCAATTTTTTAAAAGGTTGTTATAGAGGTACCAGGACGAAGTTTGATTGAGAATCTTTATGGATGGCCTTCGCTTCTTCATCACCGGTGACAGGAGTAAGTAAGTAAATAAATAAGTGCGTGATCAAAAATAACTTCTAATATAAAAACTCGAAATGCATTTGACACGGTTAAGAATCCATATCAAAATGCATATTGAAACAAACACTATTTATATTGATCACTATAAACAACTATCCATTATTATTTTAATGAATTAAAGTTGAAGCCATTAATCGATCAACCAGACAGGTCAAATAACTTGATTTAATCATTTTATTTAATATTAATGTTGCTAATATATGCATAATGCATAAAAAAAATTAGTCAGTTCTTAGTTCTACTGTCAAACTGACCATACCTAGATTAAATATCTACGCTACAAATAAGAATGATCTACTTTACAATTGATTAATCACTGGGTGGTGATCAATGTCGTGTGTATCAAGTTCTTTTTAGTGCAGATCGATTGCTATCGACCAAGTTGAAATGTGGCCGTTAGTCTAGGTGACTCGACATTACGTGCATTATGTTGAGATAGAATGGTGGTTGGAGGTAGTCAACAGGAAACCCTGGATCCGGGTTTCGTGCTATTTGGCAATCGTTAGCAAGATGTACTTGTAATCTTGAAGTAACTGATGCTTCCTGACGGATTCGATTTCGTGTCATCCAGCTTTACAATCAGAGACGTTACCACTGGGATATCCGGGTCATGATTGACCTCCTGCAGAACTGAGATTTATTTACAATTGACTAATCACTGGTTGGTGATCAATGTCATGTGTATCAGGTCCTTCTTAGTGCAGATTGAATCCTAACGACCAAACAGTACGAAAGATATGTTCAGGGTTTCCTGTCGACTACCTTCAATCACCATCTTATGAATGATCTACGAAGGTTAACATTGTGGAATATAATGAAGATTAACCCATTACTTTCATTAATATTCAAAATAATACTGAAATTTTTGAGTTAGCTCAATTAATTTGTTTGGGAAATTAATTGATTCACCTTTACGGTTATTGTGATAATCTAGTCTTCTTTAAAATAATGGAAGTTTTTCTGTACTGTAGAGTAACTTTATTTTATGGTGATTATATAATAGAACACATGATATTCATCGTTTTAAAATAGTCGGATTGATAAACACAATGGGAAAAATAATTTCATTTGATCTAGAATATTATCTTATTGAATGACTAAATTTTGTGGATTTTCTGCTGATTCAACAATGTTCAAAAGTTAAAAATGCATAATATGAACTGAAATGAGCTACATCTACAACTTTGAAACAACCTATGTAACATAAAGATCTTATCACAGGGTCGTGACTGACCTCATATAGGGATGAGATATTTATAATGACTGATCACTGATTGATAACTTATGTCATTTTCCTGTGATCCTCTGGGTTAAACAGAATTTATCGAACAAGTAAAGTTGGGATACCTATCAGGTACCTCTGATATGGTAAGCCAATCAGAATTAACCAAATGAGAAAGTCAGTCGATGGCAATCAGAAATGACATCAAGGACAGATGGATTTATTAGCTAAGAAATGGATTAATTTCTTAAGTCGTAGAGTTGTGTATATATAAATGAGGATTTGTGCATTTTATTCGGTAGCCCAATATACTTTCTCGCCAACTCTTGTGTTCTCGCCCACGTGACCAGTTGAGGGGTTAGCGCGTAGCACATCTTGTATCAGTACCAGGTTTCGGATGCCACCCATCATAACAGTTTCTGGTGACGTTATTTTTATCAAACCCAAGCAAAAATAAAAAAATTCCAAGTATCTGTTTTAGCAGATCAGCTTAAATCAATCTTGCAGCTGCAGTAAAGAGAATTTCAAGCATCACAATTGAAAATGATCGAAATGATTACACAAAAGTTTTCAATTTGAGAAAACTCAGTACAAGTGTCTGAATTACTGAATCACTGATCAACTGAATGAGCGAGTTTCATTTTGATCCTGATGCTGTGTCACATGGGAATCATGGTTTGACAAGTATGAAGACATTTTCCCATTTGAGTTTTCTCATTATGATGACTCTTCAAAAGTGAGAATTCTACTTCGTAAGCTTGGCGCAGCCGAACATGAAAATTATTCGAACCTTATCTTACCAGAATTCTAACGTATTTTCTTTTGATTCTACTGTACAAAAATTAACAGAAATGTTTACTAATTAGACTTGTCTTAGAACTGTTAATAGACCTGAAGATGATTTTGTTTCATATTCAATATTTATTAATAGATAATGAGACAGTTTTTAAGTCGCGTTCACTTTCTGACAAACAATTTAAGTGTTTTATCTTTGTTTGCAGGTTGCAATCATCGTCAGACTCAGGCTTTCGTAATAGAATCTTAAGTAGAATCGAGTATTATGTTGATAGATATTGTGAATGTATATTGTATCATTAGTATTGTTAAGAATGTGATCAAAATGATCGGATGTACAAATCCTAATCATACATCTGCCGTTAGTCCTAATTCATTTGAATTGATGAAAATTTCTTATTCAGACCGTATTATTAGTGTCACAAAGCATGGTTTACGAGGATTTTATCACCCAAATCGAATTTCCAATGTCCATAACTCTAATCTGCGTTGCTCCTCAAGGTCCCTCACTAGTTGCTGGAACTATGGTAGCATGAAATTTCTCCCGTTTTCGTTCACTCAATAAAAAAAATCCTCAAAATTTAGAGTAACTAGCCACATAAATGAATTTTGCATACGAAACAGATCTTTATTCTATTATCAAATCTTAAAAAGAACCAATTATGTACATATTCTGTTAAAATCTAACCCACCATGCTTATATGAATATGTATCCATAAATGTTAATTATCGTATTATCACTCAGCGGTTGGACACTGATACGATGTTTCCTTGATTTCTCGTAAAATTTTGCACAGAATTGATAAAATGTAAGTAATTTTTAGACGCTAAATTGATAATGTCGTATTGTAATTACTTTTTATGCTATGTCCACACCTGCCAGTCTACGAGAACTGGCAGTCCGGTGACCAGATACAAAGAGGGTGCATCTCGTTGGCGCTCCGTTTTGCCGAGGTGAGGCCAAGTGAAAGACCACACTGAGATCCTGTATGCGTGTTTCAGAGACACAGCATACATCAATCGTACGAGATTCTAGGGTTCTAGCCAAGGAAGCCTGCTGACCGATTTGACATAGGGTGCGTACGTTGAAGGCTCCAATGTGTGGTTTGGAGCTAGGTTTCAGTAGACCTGGGACAGTGTTTTTAGCACCAGAATCGTTGGCTATAATGACACTTGAGGGGGAAGCCGAAAGAGGACGTTTAGCGTTGAAAGTCGATGTAGGAGGAATAATAGGAATTGAAGAGGGGGGTTGATTATGAATACAGTGATCTTGAGTGCTGTTAGAGGTATAAGGGAAGTTATCAATTCCTCGTTGCCCACACCATGCAAGGGTTCTTCTGGAGGTACCTGAAAAAGAGATTGAGTTAAGGTTGGTCTTAGTGACCTGAGAGCGTGACCACACTGCCAAAGAGACAACTGCTTGAGGTCGGTCACACACGACCTTTTTATGAGTAATGTTCGTGGTAGCTCCCTACTTGTTGAGACCTTACCACCGGGGACGGATACCCATGGGATAGAGCGAGGTGTGTATTTTTAGGGTCAACCTTTTCTAAACCCACCCCTCCTTGTGGGAAGGCAGCATCGCTGTCATGCTGGTTGTCTGAAGGAGACACCCTACTACTGTCACACATGTGTACAGTCGGCAGTACGAATTTGCCTTTGTTCCTTTTAGTCTTACTGCTCTTCAGCCGACGGTTACATTGTTATATGAATCCGGTGTTCATCTTGTTGTGTTATTGAGGTATGGCCACTTGGACCGATGCATATATGTGCCTGGTCCTACGTTGTAGCTGACTGACTAACTGAATTACTTTTTACATTCCAAACAATTCACTTTATAGACAAATGGAATAGGATAGAGAGACGAAGAGAAACCACAACATGATCATATACAATAACCATGTACAAATTGCGATCATGAGAAACAAAATAATTAAGTTTATCGTGATTACCCCAAAACAGTTGTAAAGTGAACAAAATAATGACGATAATAATAACAATATTTGAAAGTGGCATAGGGAAACGTAATTGTTTGAATGTTTAAATCTATAAAGGGATTACAGATTTACTTTACGTTAAAAAAAGATTCAGACTAGTTATAATAACAATAAACAGGAAATAAAAAGCTAACCGAATAGAATAGTAAAAGTGTTACTGTGGTTAAATAAATTAAATTTATCTTCACTGAACTAGCTAGGTACTCTGTAGACTCGGTAGCTCAGTATGTTGCTTATTAAGAGCTTGAACCTAAGGAAATAGGGATTGAGTTACAGTGTTAACACACCCAGATGAAGAGTCGCAAGCATGAGAAAACGCACATCCTCGATTACACCATTAACCATCACCCGAATTTCCTAAAAACTTATAAATATATGGTAATACCTGTTATATCCTAGCGAAGATTACATTACCAGTAACTTCTGAGACCTATCAATGGACTAATATTATCTATACTATTCAGTAATTAGAATATGTATATCTATATTCCCCTTATTATAAGCTTCTTTTTGACCTGTAATTTATTATTATACGATTTAC